ACAACAGACTCATAGAAAATCCTCAGCATTTTCTGGCAGATGTTGAAGGACCTCAGTCGCCTCAAAAAATAGAGACGACTCTGGCCCTTCCTGTAAAGTGCTGTGGTGTTTTTAGCCCAGTCCAGTTTATTGTCAATGTGAACTCCAAGGTATTTATAGTCCTCCACAATGTCAACACTGACCCCCTGGATTGAAACAGGGGTCAAGTGTTTCCTGGTCTTCCTGAAGTCCACGATCAGTTCCTTGGTCTTTGCCACGTTGAGCTGCAGATGATTCTGCTCACACCACGTGACAAAGGAGTCGACCACAGCCCGGTACTCTGTCTCATCATCCCTGCTGATGCATCCAACCACCGCAGAGTCATCAGAAAATTTGAAAGGGGCCATTGGGTAAATTGGACGACTGTGGCTCAGGAGCCAGAGAAGCTCGTCTGCTAATTGGACCATCAGTGGTTCGATTCCTGGCTCTTTCAGCTTGCATATTGAAGAAACCTCGGGCAAGATGCTGAACCCCAAGTTGCCCTGATGCTTCCATCAGAAAGACAAAAACAAAAGAACACATGGATGTGTGTACATGGGTAGTAAAAATGCTTTGAGTGCTCAGATTGAATGGAAATGTACTATCCAAGCACCAGTTCACCTGCTGTTTGGGTTTAAACCTCGGACTCTCATAGTGTGAGGAGTAAATGATAACCCCTGAGCTAACCAAGAATTTAAAAGACTTAAGTTGTCTCTCAGTTCATTTTAAAGTATTCGTGGCAGTAGTGGGACAGGCGCGCCTCTTCGAGTAAATGAATAGATACTAGTGTGTGATCTTGATGACTCACGTGACTTCCTCATCCTGTGCATGAACTCCAGTTCCACTATTTCAGTCTGCAGCTGCCAGCGTTAGTTCGGTACCAGCTGCAGCTGATCACTGTGGATTTAAAGTTTCATTGGCAGATAAACATGCAAACTCCCGCCAGAAGAGCCATGCCCGGGTTTTAACCCAGGACTCTGTTGTTGTGAGGCAACATTGCTAATTGCTGAACCACCCCCCTGCCTCTACAGTCGATCACTTGTTATCTTAGAAGGTAAATAAATCTTGAAGTATGCTTATGCATTCCTCGCAAGCAAAGTGAATGTGCAGGAAACAGACCCGAGACCTCAGAGGTAGTACTGCTCAGCTTTCAAGGCCTGCAGGCTTTAAGGTGAGCAACCAGGCATACACTAGGGCAGACCTTCCCAAAGTGTGGGGCCCGACCCTAGGGGGGGCGCAGAGCCATTGCAAGGGGGGGCGTGGCATGAAAAGGGAAAAACAAAAACAACGCTTGGACACTGCTAGCAACGGGGCTCCACACAAACGCAAAGCAGGAGATGAAGCATCGCTGAATATGTTTCCAAACAAACTTCATTCCAAGACAAAGACTAGAAAACCTGGTGAAGCATCTTCCCTTTGGTTTCACCTGCACAAGTGCCGAGGTAGGTCTCCCTGCAGAATTGGTTTTCCCTTCATCGGGAGCAGCGCTGGGCTCTCCAAATCACGGACAAACAGGATCCCACATTCTTGACTTTTAGTTCACAAACACTTCTTGTAATGACTAACTGCTCCTGACATGTTGGAGATGTTTGCTCTTTATACAGTAAAGTTACAGCAGGACACAAATAGCATCAGGCTGATCCTGCCACGATCTGTTCCCCCTGTCCAAATCACAGACAAACAGGATCCCACAGCTGTTTATGTTTTTGAACCCATTTTGCACAGAGAGACATTTTTGAAAAATGTATTGACAGCAATGTTGAATATTATTACACAGGAAAAAAACAACTACACGTAAAATAATCACACCGTGACGCCTCTGCCTTTGTAAATGGAGGGACAGTAACTGTGTGTGTATTCAATTCAATTCAATTTTATTTATATAGCGCCAAATCACAACAAAAGTCGCCTCAAGGCGTGTGTATATGTAAGCTGTAAAACCTGATGATAGTCAGATTAACAGTATTTTGTCTCTATCTGCCATTCTGCAATTCATCTCATGTAAACAATAACGTGGCGCACAGCGTGACGTGAAAAAAGGCACATACCTTTGACGCTGCGTGACCAACTCTGTATTCCTCGTCCACACATAAACGCAAAAAAGGAGTTTTAAAAAAATCTCCGTTTTCGGTGATTCGAAACGCCGTTTACGTGGACGAAACAGCTGCGTTTTCAAAAATACCCGTGTAGGTGCAGACGCAGCGTAAAAGAGTTAGTAGATTATTTTCTTACTACCTGCAGATTACTTGTATTTGCTTAATTGTTTACTAAATATTTGAGGTGTGAAATAAACCGCAGTGGAGCAAAATATGGGCGTGTGTGATTGGAGGACGTGTTAGTGCGTGTGTGTGTGTGTGTGTGCATGCGCGAAGGGGAGGGGCGCGAACATTTTTCTTGCAAAACAGAGGGGGCCAGGCGAAAAAAGTTTGGGAACCACTGCACTAGGGCGTGAACTTGTCCAGGGACCATTTAATATCTCACTTAATAAAACTGAGGAGACTCAAACTGTCTTCTATGTTACACAAAGAGTTGGCTGAAGTATTTGGACAGTTAAATATACCGTTTACATGGCGTGTGGTCCGTCCTGGCTAATTAATAAGTGAGTTGATTTGAAAATAAATGTTGTTTCTTTATTAACCAGCTGAGTATCTCTGCTTTGAGCATTTGAGCCTTTTTAAGGCTTTAGACTTCTGATTTGTCCTGTTTCAGCATCACACAGGTTTCAGCTGAAAACATTAAACGTTGAATAGAAGCCAGACGTCTTTTAAGTGAATCAACACTTAGCTGACAGGTCACACGACAGAAGATGTTTGATAGTCAGATGTTGCTGTGTGAAAGTGAATTTGAGCCGAAAGTCATCTTTGAAGAAGGATGATTTGGACCAACTGAGAGCTGAAGGTGTCACGAGGGATTTATGATGGCGAGGGAAACTTTTTATCTAATCCAAACAACCTGAAACCATTCTGACTGCTATTCCCAGGAGTGAACCTTTAAGATGTAAAAGGTATTTATCTCAATTTTTTGATGTGCAAAAATGGAGATAAACTTGCCAGTGGAGTGTTGGCTCGAACATTTGGGTTTCAGACTTTCCACCCTGTACGGTCGCTGTGATGCATCAAGGCCTTAACCCGCTAATGACAGGGTGTTAGCTACCCTCTGAGTGTATGTGGACCCTGTAATAACTCGTCTCCTCCCTGTTCCATACACTCTGCCCTGTGGGCAACATACAGAAGCATGAAGCGCTTTGGCTCTACAGCCCTTTGTCCTCCACCATGCACCCCACATTTGCTCATTTTTTACTTGCTTTTCCTTACATTTGTATTTAAAGTTTCATGTAATCTATCAGTGTGTTAAAGTTTAATAAAAACATGATGTTTGTTTGTTAACCTGATAATATCCACCTGGAGGACAGCGACTGGGTTTGGTTTCATCCCTTTTATGTAGACGTTTGAGGTGCCTGGTACAATCTAATGGAAATCTTATAACCGAGTGTTAGAGACTTTATTTGAAAGCTAACATCTATTTTCTGGAGCTGTGCTTGCTAAGTATGAGGCTAAAATGCAACCTAACCCTAAGTAGGTGATTCACTCATCATGGATCTCTCTGTCACTGATTGGTTTTAGAGCACTCTGTCTGTACTACCCTGTCATATGTCAATCAGCGCACTCATCGGTAGCTTGAGACCTGTCCACTCTGCATGACAAGCAGTTATTTTGCATTATCGTTAAATGTCGTCATCCATCAGAGAGCACAAGAGAGAGAGCTCTGAAAGGATGTTTGCATGCCTACAGATGTTTGTGACCATGCACACTCTGCAGCAAGTACACATGAACCTTTTTAGACGCATGTCCAAGAAGTATAACAGGAATGATTACTTGGCCGTGATGTCTTCAGCTGTCCACGTCCATGTCTGCAGCAGAGTGTAATTGGCTCTTAACCCTACATCTAAAGCTTGATTTAGAATTCTTCGTGTAGAGCCTATGATGCAGTCTGTGCGAGTGGCCGTAGGCAGCGTGTACTTGTGTACAGTTTGTCTATGTTGCTCTGCAGTTTCACCATCAAAGCACCAACAGGCAGGTGGAATTTCTCTCCGCAAGTTGATCTTTTCTCTTCCAGTCAATGCAAAACCTGGTGGCAGACGAAGTAGATGGAAATGCAGTGCTGAACAGGCCGCGTTGAAGTGATGCACAGTTCCATTTCTGCGCAGGTGCACAGATACCTGAGCGTAGATTACAGCACAGGGTCTCAAAGGGGTCATGTGACATAACTATGACATAGATTTAATGCAGAAGCATAAATGCACTGTGTTTCTCCCGCGGTGTTCAGAGGTGAAGTTAATGGTTGATAACATTGAGCGGTTTAACGGCGACAATGGTTTTTGTTTTGATCAAGCAGTCAAACTGTGAATTAAAAAGAAGCTGTGCTTTCTAAAGCAGCGGTCCCCAACCCCCGGGCCACGAGTCGTTTGGTACCGGGCCGCTAGAGTTGAGGCTCGGGCGTGAAATTTATGGTTTTCAGGGTTTTTCCCGTGTTGTAGTTTTGTGTTATTTTGAAATAAATATTTACATGTTACCATAGCGGCCAGAGAGCATTAAGGGGCAGAGAGGAGGATGTTACGCTCAATGTTATTGGTGCATTTCAGGAGGACGCTGCTAATAAAGTTACACAATTACTCAGTGAATTTGTGTTTATTATTATATTTACAGAATACTGCAGATTTTTCTTGGTCGCATCATTTTATTTTGCTGTATTTATCCGCGACACCTTAAAGTATTGTCTAACATTAAACCGGTCCGTAGCACAAAAAGGTTGAGGACCGCTGGTCTAAAGTCACCGTTAGGCCTGAGCAGTCATGATTTGTGTAGACTGTGACGTCCATGTGGTCCTGCAGTCTCCTATTAAAACACTGGTGTCTGCAGCGCATTAAGAATCACGATGGGAATATAAGAAGTAAACAAAGCGATCACATAGGGTTTTGTTTATAATCATTTATATTGATCTTTTAAATGACTTTTGAACATCTGACCAAAGAAAAATCAGCATTAAATTGTCTATTTAAATACCAAAACACCAAAGTGTGTGTCTGTGCTTTTGTCTTCTGGACGACTCGTTCTGTACATCTTGCTCTCAAGCTGCTTTAACTTTAGTTAAGGGGCCACATCTCGTGCTATTGTCGAGAGCCGATACTGATCCCCCGCCTAATGGACTGAAGGCGGGCACCAGATCAATAACGCTGGCATTAGGTGGCTTTGGAAAGCGGCAGCTTCCTCTTATTTTTCATCTGAAGCTGAGCGACCTCGCTTCTTGTGATATTTTCTAATAATGCCACCTTTTCCCTCTGGTCCACAGCCGAAGCAGATCGGAGATGATTTCTGCGGTTTGGTACTGAACCAGCCGCTCGGAGGCCTGAGGGTGATCGAGGGACAGCCGCTGTACGAGGACCGGACCGAGGGCATGGGCGCCGTGGCCGCATACACCTACGGGGAGCACACGGTGGTGTTCGTGGGAACCCGGAGTGGACAGCTGAAGAAGGTAGGAGGAAAGAACGGATGATTAGTCTACCGAGGAGGAAAAGCTGTTGTGAATATGTTTGCGCTCCTGTTTGAGTTGGGTACTCTGTGGGAAAGGAAGGAAGTCAGGGAAGGGAATTAAGAGAGACAGGACAGAATGACAGGAAAGGAATACCGGTGGACTGTTTGAGGGCTTTTGTTTCCTCTGCTGAGAGGAAAGGGCTGCATTAATGTTTTAAAATTGCTTTTGGGGCTTTGATTGCTTTCTAGAGTTTCTATTTAAGGAGGTTAGAAGGAAAGATAGAGAGACAATTGTCTTATTCATGTTTTAAATCACTTGAGGCTCTTTTAGTTCTTTGGTTCGGATGAAAGGAAGAGATTGAAGTTCACCTGTTTGATTGCAGTCCATCTTGAAACAATCAAGGTGTTTGTTCTCCATTTATAAGGGGTTTTGATAAAGTACTCAGCTTTCTTTGTCACTCGGATGGAGCCATGTGATGTTATCAGTCGTCAGTGTGACTCTCACCTGTGAATCATTTGTTTGTTCGTTGTCGAATGTCAAACTCGGCTGTGTCGGAGGTGTTTAGCTGTGAAGCTGTAGGACTGGGAACGGTCGCAAGGCAGCGTTTAGAAGTGAGTCTTCACGCTGCGTTATTACCGAGCTTCAGTTCATCAGCGCTGAAAGTAATTTCAGCTCTGGCATAACAGTTATTGCAAAGCTCTGAAAACGGTGTGAGAGTGCATTTATACAGGAATGTCTTCAGTTTTATTCTGTTCATTTCATCAAATGTCTTTTCCGAAGCTGCCTGATGAGGCTTTAGTGCAAATGTTTATTGAGATGTGTGTGTGACTGTTGAGTCGACTGCTTTCAGAAATGCTGTGTTTCTCTTCTCATTTGCACTCTTACTCCTGAAAACCTCACACCTGATAAATAAACTTAATACAGTAATGATTAAAAAGACAAAAACCAACAATATATTTATGTTTGTTGTCTTCTGTCTTCAAATACGTCTCCAAATAATGTCCAAAAAAAGAAGAAGAAGACCCCTGCTCGGTGCAGCTACACTCACCATGTGTCGTCTTTGTTGTTCCTCTTTTCTGTCTCCCAAAAATAATTTGGATGCATTTTAAAGACTCATTTGGAAACATCACATACGGTCTTCCATTATCTATTGCAGTTTGATATTTGCTCTATTACTCATTAATAATAAGTTAGTTAGTAGCTCCACGAAAGGATCAGTTAAAAATTTAGAAATAATTAAAAATCCACCAGCAAAACATTTTTAATGGTCTGAAAGCTTTTGTGTTTTTGAGCAAAAGTAATTTTGGAACCAGAATCAACAAAATAAAATGAGTTTTATAATCATATTTGATAGTCGGTGGCTACAGAAGAGACTAAGTTTTAAGCAGAGATTTGCAAGGCTGTAGAAACCTGTTGGCACGCTGCAGACTCAGGTGGCTTTGAATGTTCAAATATCGATCACGTATGAATGAAAACTCATTGTGAGTCTGAGAAAGCTTTGATGTCACGTCTTTACTGTATCTCAGATCCTAGTTCAGGTGTTGGAATATCAAAATCAAGAGTCTGATTTTTCACACCTCTGTAAACAATATTCACATGTATCCAGACAGATTGGTTATTCAGCCTTTAACGGGGACTCCATAATAAAATAAATAACCATATTAATACCCATAGGCAACAGGTATCTGATAAATATTTCATTTCTTTTACATATTCTCTGCTGCTTATGAAACTCATCCTCGGTCACACCTCCATATGTGCCAGCCTGCTCTCTGCAGCCTGTGGCGCCGCTGTTATTATTGTTATCTGGAGCTGAAAATAAGCTGAACGCTGTTTTGATTTCATAACGCAGCAAACACAATCTGTTCATTTCCAGGGTTTTTATTCTCAGGCAGGAGAGATAAACAGCACGGAGACAGGAAGCAGGACTGGTGCAGGATTAAAGCAAATGTGAGCAGTGACAGTTCAGGATGGGGCCGGTGTCTCTGCACAGATGCTCTCAGCCTTGTTGAAGTTGTAAAGTTGTCTCAGTGGTGTCGGACAACCTCACAGAAAGCTGCAGAGACGCTCAGACTGTCTGCTGCTGTCAGAAAAATGCCCCACTTAGCTGCACAAGATGTCTGTTTTCTGTCTCCTTCAGGGCTCGGCAGTCGGTTAAAGACTCGCCGTTTCCCACAGCACAAACTCCGTCCTCTCTGGAGGATTTAAGACTTTGCTGAGCGGCAGAAAGCTTTCCTACACTCTGTGGGTGAAACTAAAAACCTAAATCAAGTAAAAAGGACAGGACAGACGTGTAAAGTGGACCGTAGGCCTGACTGCGCTCTGACATTGTTGACTCCAGTGCAAAATTTCGTCCAGTAAAGCACAAGTAGAATTTACAAGTCTCAGACTGTCTGAGAGTCAAACGAGTGCGTCTGGCAAGCAGCATCGCTGAGCACCTTCACAAAAACAAATAAATGATTATCTTAGAAAAGGGAAAAAGGAATAGATGTTCAAAAACACAAAGTTCTTTGGAGATGTTAAAGATGTTGATGTTCTAGAAGTTTGTTATGAGCAAGAACGAGAGCACAAGTTCTCCAGGTTCTTTTTAGGGAGTTAAAATATTTCTAGGCTCTTTTAAGATAGCTTTGCCTTTAGGACCTTTATTCTTTTAGGACCTTGAAATGGTTAAACATGTCAAATCATCTGTGAAATGATCCGTCCTACAAAGAAATATCTTACTAGATGTTTAACAACCTGTGTGCGTTCGACCGGTTAAAGCCACCACAATATGGTCTCTAAAAGCTTTCGCTGGTTACAGGGAAATTTATTTTAGAGGGTTTTTTTAGAGGTCCTCCTTAAGTTCTTGGGAGCCAGGACCTCTAAGGATACCCTGGTAATCCTGGTAATCAGTCTGAAACTTCTAGACATTGTTTAGGGGACCTGGGAAGAGCAGCAAACTTAAGTTCTTTAGGTTCCTATTGTTGATACGATGTTAAAGGTCTTTCAGATGCTTAGAGTCATCATTGAAGATGTTTTAGAGGAACTTTAGGACATTTAGATAGTTTGACATCTCTTCAGAGCTCATTTGATAACCCATGCATTCAACCACCTGATGAAATCTTATTAAGGTCTTTCAAAGGTCTGGGATTTTATAAAAGGTCCTTTAGTCTCTTAAACACAATTAGTTTTATTTCAGTTTGGCTTGACGTCTACCTCAGCAAAGCCCTCTGTGCTTCTCTTCCCTGGATGCTGTGCTGGTGCTGACGCTAGAACTCATTTTACACATTTCCACAAAGAAACAGGACTTGTGCCAGCGATGAAGAGCTGGCATCAGTACAACACCATAAAATTGTTCCGCCCACCGTTGGAACCACTGTCAGTGGCTTGGTAGTGGTTAACTCAAGAAATTAACCAATGATGGACAGATTCAGCCCACGCATTTTCTGATTTTCTTCCCAGAAGAGAAATTATCCGACTTCTGCTAGTAATGCTATATAACAAACACTTCTCAAACCTCTCCAAACGTGGGCTGGCTCTCAAAGGCACAAAGGCAGAACTGGGTAGTACTGGGCGTTTGGCACCTTTTTGTAAGGTCTATTAAGGTCTTAAAGATAGTTCCCTTTAAGCGATTTATGGGCTAGTTTGTGTGGTTGAACACCTGTGGGTCATTAGATGAGCTGGTACAGTAATTAAGGTGTATAGTAGTTGCTTGAGAACCTTGTTACAGCCCCCATTTAGTGTTTTGCTAAAGTCCTAAGTCTTTAGTTATCCGTATGATTACCGTAAATCTCCTAAAGCATCTTCTCCAGAATCAGAAGGACCATTTAAACCACTACAAAGACGCTTAACATGTCCTTAGCAACAACGATGAGCACCGAAAGGAGCTGGTCTTTGTCTTCATGGACCACTAAACCCTCCAGAGGGAGCTCTGCAACGCCCTTAATGGCAACTAGATGCACCTAAAGGAGCTTTGAAGGATCTCCACTGGATTCCTGATAGTACAGATGGACATCAAATTTAAATCAAGCAAAAAGATTTTACACGTTAGGGGACCCAACCATCTCTTCAAAAAGAAAAATATTTTGTGCAGTGCAATCACAAATATTTAAAGGGCTTTCAATTTAAATTGGAGGGATCTGGATTCATCCTTTTCATGCATTTTAAAGTTAAAAATAATAAATGAATTCATCAGTAATTTTGCCCTTTTGACTTTTTGGTTGAATAAATGCAAAGCTTCTCTATACATCGTCCTCTGCACGATGGGCACATTAATCCACATCATCAGCAGTCATTAAAATTAAAAGATGCATTAAAAACCCTCTTCTGCTCCCACATTTGACCACACAATCATCTCCATTTTCCAGCCTGCCAACGATGAATTTTAATTGCCTGAACACTAAAAACGGAGGATGGGTGGTGAATGAATCCTCTTGGCGTTCACCCCGCTCACCTCTCCTCCCACACAGCTGCCGCTTTAATATTCATTCACATAGGGAGATATTTCTCTGAAAGCTGACCTCTGAGAGCGACGGATAGAGGGAGGAACCGAGGCAGAGAGGGAGGAATGGCCGGGGGTGTAGTCTGTACAGTGAACAGCTTGGTGAAAATCACTGGGTTTGGTTTTAGATGTTGGGCTCTGTGTGGCTGGGAGTTGGCGGAGAACTCTTGTTTCTATGTTTAGTGGAACTTCCTCCTCCTCCTCCTCCTCAACTCTCTGAGCTGCTGGCATCCAACAAAAGCTCTCCACTGCTTCAACGCCCAACAAGACGATAAGCAATAGACCCAAATCCAGTCTGGCTGGGAGGCTTTTCCCTCGCTTTCCCTTTAAGCCTGTTAAATTCAAAGTGATTATTTTTCCCAAAAAATCTATAAGTTTATGGACTGATTTTCATTTTATGCCAGTCATTGGGTTTGACAATTTCTATTAAGATAAGTAATGGTCTTATTAGTCAGTTAATCAGCAGTTTCCCTCATTTCAAATCTTTCATTTAACGCTCAATCGCCGCTTCCTCATTTGA